CACACACACACACACACACACACACACACACACACACACACACACACACACGAAAACAAGTTCATGATATAACAACATTCATGTTTATCTTTTAACAAGATTTGGCAGCAGGACTTATTATCTTGATGATATTGAAGTTTGATGAGCAAAAATAGTATTTTGAGATTCTTGTGTCACCTGGAAAGGGTCGTAAAGTCTCATGTTTTGTATCATATGGTGCCCAAGTCTCAGGTCCTGCTATGACCATTGGGCTGTGGCTAACATTCCACATGGTGGAATTTCAGGGAGACCTGTGAAAATAGAAAGTCATCTTTTTCCTCCACCAAATTCACAGACCCCTGGGATTCCATCTACAAAACCCAAGTTAAGAAGCCTCTAGAGGCCACTGCTAGGCCATTGTCTTGCTAAGCTATGGTGTGGCCATGCCCTCTTTGAGCTACGGCCGGACCATATTTTCTTAAGCTTTGGCCCTCTCCCTACCTTGGGGAGGTGAATCTCCTCTTTCTCTCTCTCTCTAATTTACTTTCTAAATAAACGATATTTTCTAATCTAATAGAAAAAGAGAAGCCTCTAGAGGAAAAGTCAAGTGAAAATTCAGTATCGGTCAAGTAGAAGAAACTCACAATGCCCAAGAACGGAGACCACGACCACGATACCTTCCTTTGCCCTGAACACGACGCGGTCCCCCACCCCAGGACAGTTCCGCATCTCAGGCCAGCCTCGCATGCCCAGAAAGAATGGGAGTCAATAGGGTTTCACGGAAGAGTCTGAAAATGCTCAGAAAACAGGCCTTCCAGTCACCGAGTACCCAGGAGAGTGAAGTGCTCAAAACGGAAACGTAAGGAGCGGGTCCAAGAGCGGGTTGCAAGACCCTTCACAGGAGAAGCGCCAGCCCTCACCTCGGCACTTGGTGTTTCCCTCGGCGGCCTCGAACCCTGGAGCACAGCTGCAGCCCGTGACAGGCTGCTCGGCCCACTGGCCATCCTCGCGACAGTAGAGGCTGGGGCTGGGGCCCGGGGCGGGGACCGCGTCGGCCACGCAGCTCCCTGCCACAGGCACGACCAGTTCACGGGGCACGGTCTCTGGGAAGCGGGTGAGGTTCACGGTCAGCTGGGAGCACTTCTTGTAGAAGAGGTGCAGGGACAGTAAGGCCATGCAGGCGCCCTGGTCCTGGAAGGCCAGGTAGAAGCCAGCCTTGCTGAGCGGGCCCAGGCGCAGCGTCTTCACGTTCACCTTCCCGGTCGCCTCAGCCCCAGGGCGCTTCCGGGTCAGATGCTCGGCAGCCACTGTGTCCACCTGCCAGGTTGGGAAGACGCCCTGCTGCCGTCCCCACTCCTCCAAGAACACAGCGGACTGTGTTCTTCCCAGCCCACCCTTCCTGACCGCCTCAGTTCCCGTTCCAGAACGTCCTCTCCACCTCTCCCCGCACACTTTCCTGCAGATCCCAACACTGTCCATTCATTCCTGTGAGCTCCTGCGATGTGTCCAACCTCTGTCCTGCACCCTTTCCCTGTTTATTCACTCGTTCGGCAAACATTTACTGACACCTACGCCACGCTAGGCCCTGACCTCAGAGCTAAGGAGACAGAAACAAATAAATCCCTGATAAGTTATAAAGTGTGATGCGTGCAAAGGCAAGCATGTGGCCAGAGGCATGTGGGATTCCAGGGCAGAGAGAATCAGCCGAGGCGTCACAAGACCCAGAAGATGGACTTAGAAGACAGGTCCCAGCACTCTGGGAGGTCGAGGCGAGTGGACTGCCTGAGCCCGCGGGTTTGAGACCAGCCCGGGCAACTTGGCGAGGCCTCGTCTCTACAATACATCAAAAATTAGCCGGGCGTGGTAGCACATGCCCGTAGTTCCGGCTACTTGGATGCCTGAGGTGGAAGGATTGCCGGAGCCCAGCAGGTTGAGGCTGGGGTGGCCATGAGCATGCCGCTGCACTCCAGTCTGGGCGACACAGTGAGACTCCAACTCAAAAAAAAAAAATTCAGGGTTAGGTGGAAGAGGCAGAGAAAAGGCATCCAGGGTAAGGCACCAGTTGATGCACAGGGTAGGGCTGGAAAAGGGCCAGGTGTTGTCCGAGCATGGGAGCCAGCTGCACAGCACGGCTGGACCACAGTGGGACAGGGGGGCGGAAGTGACTAGAGGCATGGTGGAGCAGTCTGAGGCCCGGGTCTCGCCTGGGACTGGGCCGTGCAGGCCGTGTGTATTCTGGTACTCCACCCAGAAGACCACCTTCTTCCCTGCCCAGATTTAAGCCTCCTGCTTCCAGTCCCCAGTGGCTGCACCAGAGGCCTTGGAAACTCATCTGCTGCCCTCTCGGCCACGGGCCTGACCACCAGGCTCCCGCCTTGGCCGTGGCTGAGCCCCGGGGCTCCTGGGTACCTTGATGTAGGGATTCTCCATCCAGGCGGGTGTGAGGGCCGTGGCCGTGTCAGCATCGCTCTCATAGTAAAAGACGGTGAAGGTCTCCTTGCAGGAGCGCCCGGCCCGAGGCAGGGACAGGCACTCCAGCATGGTGAAGCGCAGCGTGGCGTACACGTGGACCGCGCCGCGCCGTGGGCCCCAGCCGGTACGCAGCCAGTGGACCAAGCCAGGGGCCCGCTGGACGTCGCACACCTCGTACGTGCGGACACTGTGCTGCTCCTCATCCAGGCCGCTCAGCTCCTCCCACTGTGGGAAAAACAGGTCAGCGTGGGGGCCGCCGGGGGGGGGCTTCGTGGGTGATTCCCGTCACTTAAGAGGGACTGAGGAAGGGGCTGCTGGTCCAGGGAGGAGGAATCTCTGAGGGCAAGGGCTCAGGCTGCTGCTATCTAGGGGGTGAGGGGGCACAGGCAGCAGGCGGCACAGGTCCCACCTCCTCCCTCAGTTTCCCCTTGGAGTCCCAGCTTCTGGGTCCAGCTCTTACCTGCCCCTCCACCTGAGGGAATGTCACCCACTTCAGATCAGCAGTTTCCAATTTTGTGTTCAGCAGGGTCTCTGAGACAGAAAGACAAAGTCAGTGCTTGGGGCAGGGGAGAAGGGCCGGGAAGACCAGATCCCTGGGAACTAAGACAGGTGGATCCTCTGAGCTCCAAGCTTGAGGAGTCGGGGGCAGGGAGGGAGAGTCCTGTCCTCAGCACCCCGCTCTGATTTCTGGTCTCTTTTTCTGACTGCCCACCCCACCTGCAGCTGGCAGGCATCAGGCCGCTCCAGATCTAGGCTCCCCGGGTGGCTGGCTGGCTGTGCCCGGGGGTGGCAGGGGAGACCAAAACGCCGGAAGGGCACAAGGGTCAACAGCTCCGAAAAGGCTCAAATGAGAGCCCTGCCCTGGTCCTGACCACAGGCCTGTCTCAGCCTCCACATTCCCTTCCCCCAAGTCCAGAGTCGGCCTCTCTATCCCCAACTCCCCTCTCCTTTTCGGACCACACAACCCCGTCCCTCTCTCCCAGAGCGGGTACTCAGTGCCTGAGGCACGGCCCCGGCCCCCTCCCAGGGAGCCTCTCCCCACCGGTCCCCTGAGGAGGAAGTGCTGGAGGCCAGGACGCTTGGGTCCCCGCCCTGGCCCCGGCAGAGGCCTCACATCTGGATTTGGTTACGAGAAGGCAAAGGGGAGGGGACTTGGGGGAGCAGCATACAAGGGGGGGTGAACACACCTGGTTTGGCTCGGCATCGTGGGGGAGGGGCACTGGCGGAAGGGGGGGATTAGGAAAAAAACGACACGGGCCCTGGCAGTGCAGGGTGGAGGGAGGGTGGGGGAATCCCCCGGGAGGCAGGGCCATGTGGGGGGCAGGAGGCTGGGTCCTGGGAGGGGCGGAGAGGGGCCTCCAGGGGAGCCGGCAGCACACCTGGGACCAGCACCTCCCAGCCCCAGGGGCTGCAGAAGGGAAGGGAAGGCAGGGCGAGTGGGACGGCCTCTTCCCAGGGACCAGGCGACGCCCAGGGGCAGGGGTCAAACGGGAACCCGGCCAGCCTGAGGTGAGGCCCAGGGCCCCCATGGGTGGCAAGAGATAACCCGCACGGTGGTGACAGGATGCCCGGGTTCTGGGAAGGGGGTGGATAGAGGCTGCCGTCTCCACCCTCCATTGTTCCAGCCTGGATAGTGTTTTCCTGTCTCCAATTTACACACTGTCTCTGCCTTAGGGCTGTCCTCGGCCTCCAGCGAGTCAGCGCCGGCTCACTTTCTCTCATCCTCTCTCAGGCTGTCGGCCTCCAGCTGGCTTTGATCTGTCAGTTTGAGTGTCTCTCACCTCTGGCTTTCTGCTCTGTCCACCTCCACTTCTCTTCCCACCGTCACTGTCTTTCCTTCACTATCCCCACCTTTCGTCTTCCTTGGGGCGCATGGACTTGGATAAATTACTTAACGTTTCCAAGCCTCAGTCTCCTCATCTGTAAAATGGGGGCATGAATACCTCCCGCCACCAGCCTTGCTGGGATGGTGAGAATCACCTTTGCAAAGTGCCCAGCACGGGCCACGAATAAAAGAACCACTTCCTCTCTGTACCCCTGTTTCCCGCTCACCACACCTCATCCTGGTGGTTTTTCTCCCTCTCTAGCTTCCTTGCCCTCGGCCACAGTTCTTCCCCCTTCTCCCTTCTCCGAGCGGGGCAAGCCTGCCCCGCACTCCCGCCCCACACCCAGCCTTTGATCCACAGCCCAGCCTGGGGGCCCGGGCTTTTGCCATGCCTTTGATTCCTCCCCTTCGGGAGCCCCCCACGGCCCCCTCCCCGGAGACCCCTTTGATGCCAGGCAGTGAAAGAGGGGGAGGCCACTCAGTGAAAGGAGATTAGGGACGAGGAGGGACAGAAACTCATGGAAGGAAAACCATTTGGAGACCAGGAGGTGGGAACCCGGCTGAGTGAGGGAGACGTGTAGGTCAGTTTCTGCTGGCCTGTGGGACTGGAGGGAAGTCTAGGGCTCAGGCAGGGCCTGGGTCCAGCCAGCTGTGAAGGGAAGGGGTCCAGCCTGGGAAAAGCAGGGAAGGGGCCTGGGGAGCACCGGGGCGCTTGGAAGGTGAATGCAGAGGGAGGCCATCCTGACAGGAGTGCAGAATCGTAGGATCCAGGTGTGAATGCTAAGGAATTGGCAGCGGGGTCGTGCTGTGGCCTAGCGCGAAGTCATGCCTGGTCTGCATTTGTTCCTCCAAACCCTTCCCTCATGTTGGGCGCGAGCGGGGAACTGGGATAGAAACTTTGCGGATAGTTTTGGGTCTGGAGGAAAGGAAAGGCTGCCAAGGGCGTCGGGAGTCGGCAGGAAGAGTTTGGGGAGCCGGCGTCAGGGAATGTCCCAGGTCGCAGCTCGACTCCATCTCTTTCCCAAACAAAAGAAAACTCCACTCCCCGCCGGGCCGCCTCCTCCCCGCCCCCCTCCCGCTCGAGCACCAGTGGTCTGAAGTGTCCGGGGCTGGGGTGCCCGGTGGGGGCAGACAGGACGGGACCTCCACTCCGAGGTCCAGTTTGGGGGTCCCGGTGGTGACGAGGTGCCCCAAGGAAACTCACCTTCCAAAGCCGCGGCCAGCGAAGCCCAGCAGAGCAGCGCCCGGAGCTCCATGGCGCCGCCTCACTCGGGTAGGATCCGACCCGAGTTTGGGGGGCCCGAGCCCCCCCAGGTCTGGCCCCTCCCCTGGGCGGGCGGACGCCGACTCCTCGCGCAGGACGCTCCGTCGGGACCCTCAGCGCGGGCCCATGC